GGAATATTTATTGCTCATATAGTGTATAAATTTTATTTATAACAGATTTATAACAGAATTTAAGCGAAGTGGAAATTTTTAGCTATTATAAGCATTTTCGGCAAAGTTTTAAGTACTTCGCAAACAGCACTGACTAGCTCCCAGCACTTTTTGGGTAGAGGATATAAACCTCTTTTAATGTGTATCAATTATTTTCTTGAAAAACAAGCGTATGCCCTTGCACTATCAACATTTCCTATATTCAGCTTAACAATTCTATTTTTATACAAGTCACGTGACAAACAGCTGATACGTGCGATATAACTGGTAATAACTACGACCCAATCCATTCCATTATTGATAGCTTTATTACCTTTTCTACAAATACTCAGTTGCTTTGTTAATTTTTTTTAAAAGAAGCAATTCATATTAAAACGGTGCAAAGGTCACATTTTCCATATGGGTCCTTAACATAGCTGAGTAATATCGAAACTGGGTGATAATTATGGAGCAAAAAATTCTCATCAGCTTTATAAAATTGTGTAACCCTTGCTTTTTTCTACTTATCAACAAAAACACACGACTTGATTGAACAATTCAAAATATGTATTAACATATTTCATAAGATATGAATACTTTGCTTTAGGATTTTAACAGAAATTTCATCTAAACAAGTAGCTTTTGAGTTAGACATAGAAAGTACTTCGTCGATAAGAAAGCTTTCACTTACAAGAGGAATGGAAAATGAACCTTCTGGCATTTGTTGTGGAACCGTGGGTATGGATTGGAGTCGTTGAAATTAGAAGCAAATTGATGTCCAAAATAAGAAAAGAAGTCATTGAACTTGCGTTTTCTTGATTATACAATGGTTGCTTTGGACCATGGTTACCATGACAACCAACATAATTTTCCACTGGCTAAAAAGCGCTAAATTTAGATGAAAAAATGACCCTTTTTTGACATATTTAAAATCTTTAAGAGAACATGACTTTAACTGTTTCACCAAAGTATACCATTTTATATTTTTTAAAGTAAATTTTGAGTATTTTAGTAACTTTACTTCAAAGAAAGAATATCCCCCCGTATTTAGATTGGATTTTTCGGGGGGGGGGTAAATTATAGATTTTAGACTCTTTTAAAAAGCCTGGCTTAGTTTTTTGCGGATAGTTGGCAGAATTATAAACATTGGTTTGAAATTCAATATAAAGTTCTTAGATAAACTTCAAAAAACCACTTGGTATTCATATATATGTTACCATGGTCATGTGTTTTCATCTTTTATTTTGAAATTTTAAACAAGGACAAATTACCAGAGTATTTTAAAATCGATTAAAACAACTTTTGACATATGGTGAACAATGTCAATAACAAGGAGAAAAAAGTCAATTTTCATCATTAAGGGTCAAAGTTCAAGGTCAAAAAGGAAGATTAAGATGGAAGTTTCATGAAACTGATTAAACTTTTTTTATGTGTCATAACTAATGCTCAATGTTTAAACAACATATGAATTAACAAATTTACAGTTCAGTTGACAATAACTAGCATCATATGAAATGGTGAATTATATATGGAAAGAATGTCAAAGTTCAAGATAACAATGGTAGATTAATTTTGCCTATTTTTCCCCAACTTTCATTGAAAGTGGGGAATATTAGTTCGGATTAGTCTGTCTCTCTATCCGACTTTCCTTTTGACGCCATGTCATAGCAACATAGCAACTTCCTGTGGCCTTAGGAAGAACCCATTGAATTTCAGGTCAAAGTTCAAGGTTATGAATGCATATATTCTGTCCGTAAAACATTTTATTATTATGCGAGATTATATGAAGCCTTAGATTGATTGATTGAATACTGTTTAACATCCCTCTCCAGAATATTTCACTGATATGGAGACGTCACCATTGCCGGTGAAGGGCTGCAAATTGAGACCTATGCTCGGCACTTACGGCCTTTGAGCAGGGAGGGATCTTTATCGTGCCACACCTGTTGCGACACGGGGCCTCGGTTTATACATCTCATCCGAAGGACCACCCATTTAGTCGCCTTTTACGACAAGCAAGGGGTACTGAGGACCTATTCTAACCCGGATCCCCACGGGGCATGAAGCCTGAGATCTTTTTCATTTAAAGTTTAATCCACAGCATGCAAAAGCATAAAAGACCCCTATTTTTTCGAGGTGAAACAGAGTACGTGTCTTTTAATGCCAGAATAGATTCATAGAGAAAATTAATGTCGACATTGTAATAAAAAAAACAGATAAAAGCAATACAATTGTCACCATCTGCAATCTAAACACTCTATGTAGGTATCTGAACCCAACATGCTTAAACTGCATGACAGCATTCAAAATAAATTTTCCGAAATGCATACTGATGGGTCAATGAACGAGATACTTTCTTTAATGACAAAAATCCTCACAAAAATTTGGGCAATTATACTTTTTACCTAAAACCAACATAATACAAGCAAACATTTTCAATGCTCTAATAATGCCCTTATAAACGGTTAGTGCAGCATTACGAAATTATCACCTGGTAGACCAATTATCACGCAATGCAATGTGCCAACGAATAAAGTAGGACATTATTGCGATTACTTTCTTGTACCTATTGTACAAAAACAATCAACTTATGTTAAAGACACCACGGACTTTATCTCCTAAATCGAAGGCCTTACACTGCCAACCAATGCATTATTAATTAATTATGATGTGATGAGCATGTACACAAACATGGAATTCAACGAACTTCTTTCAACAGTAAATAAGGCTTAGACACAGGCCAATAAAACGCAATTAGACATTCCATATCCTAACCTTGAGGATCTTAACGTCTTACTGAAATACCTCTTGGAAAACAATTACTTTGAATTTGATGGAAAATATTACAAACAAATAATAGGAGCAAGTATGGGGGCATTCCCCAGTCCAGAGATCTTTGACACCAGAATGTATCAAATCACACACATATTATAATGGCACAAATTCGTCATGAAAACAAAATTGTTTTCCACGTAAGATACCATGATAACGGTTTCATAGTATTCAATGGAACGCAAGTAGAGATAGAAGAATTCTTCAATATAGGCAATCACTGTCACAAACATCTAACATTTACATTTGATATTTCTCCATCTACTGTAAAACTCCTTGATACTACAGTTTACAAGGGACCAAGATTCAAATTCTTAACAAACTTGATATCAAGGCGTTTATCAAACCAAAAAATAATTCTCAATATCTTCACAGACAGAGCGCTCATAGCCCAGCTGTGTTTAAAGGATTCATTAAAAGAGAATGCATTAGACATGCAAGAAATACTACCGACCCTTAAGAATTACATGTTGAGGACCCCATTGGAAATAAGCACATTATTGCTTTCATGGGTCATCCTCGAGTAAATGGCTATACTAAGTACCTAAATTATATAGTTACCCGCCATTCTCTTTTAAATATACTGAATTAAATATTTTTCTTAAGTACATGTTTTTTTGATATCATGTAAGTGTTTTATAACAATTGTATTTTTAACAATGATTTCTTAGGATTCAATGTACCAATTTTGTTCTTATGTGTCTATCTAATGCTACATATATGACATGTGCCATTTCATGAACAAACAAACAAACAAGCACACAAACACAATATCTTCAAGGCCCACTTATCAAAGAGAGGCTCCTCTACTTCGGAAATCGATCCTACTATATCGAAGAAACGATCAACACAAACCGATCAAAACTCATCATCCAACACAATACAGAACAGCTAGTACGTAACCCTACAGTACTGGTTACTAGATTTAACCCTTGCGTTAAGGGACTGAAAAAGGGAATTTTTGAATATTGGAACAACATTCTTGGAAATCCAGAATGAAAAACTTAGTTTATTTAAATGTCAACAATCATAGCTTATAGCAAACACAGGAATATAGGTATGAAAATAATCCGGTCTCACCTAAAAAAACATCATGATTTATGTCCGTGGCCCCTAATGAGGCGTATTAATAGCCGAAATTTCTACAACTACTTGCATATTAATCTGCTCTATGCAAAAATCATATCTACTAAAAGTGTTGTTTGGATAGTCGGGTCCTAATAAATCTCTTAAAAGTTTGGGTGATTGATGTCGCTAATTTTCATATTTTAATACAAAAACTATACCGTATGACAAATCGAATGACTACAGTTTTAATCAACTTTTCGTTTTTATTTAAAAAATATATCTACATCACCTCATATGGTGATTACTTTCAAAGCTCAAAAGCTATCTCTAAATACAATCATTTTTTTTAATCCTACCCAAGTTATTGAGCTCAAATTAATTTCATAATGATTTCAACAACCTGACTTTAAGGAAGCTTCAACATATGTTATAAAGACCTTAATCTTATTGTAAGATTGGTTTGTACGAGCATTCCTTCCGACAAGTCTCATACCATTTATCAGATCATAACTTTGATACAAATTCATATATAATTTACACATACAAAATATTTGTCTGTCTGCTTTTTATATTTAAATCCGATCAACCTACAATTCCCAAACCGAGGCTGGATCTTACAAGTAAGTTGATTATACAAGGGTATAAAATTTTTTGTTTCAGCTTTAACAATTGGGGAATTCCTTAGTCGATAGACTCGATTCAATGACTTTTTGGTAATGATAGTTGTTAGAAGTCGAATGTTATCGTGATAAACTATTACTTTATACAGTGGTCAGTTCAGGTGTAATCTCCACCATAGTAAACTGTACCTGATCCTTTGAAAGTGAAGTCTATGTATTTTTCTACTTCAATATTTAATTAACAATAACATTTTTATTGAAAACACCAACTATGATATATTTCCTATATTTCTATTTATAAATATTTTTGTAACTTTCTGGGGAAAAAAATATCCGAAAATATTTTAAGGAAGGAAGTTTAGATTGGTATTACATACTAATAAAAAGAATTGATTTTATTATTTTTTTTTTTAGTTTTGATATTTCAGCTGAAGATTTAAAAGAATTTTTCACCTCAAAATCCGATATGGCTGATGCACAGAGTTTGTCCGAAAAATATTCTGAGCTCCTCCTCCCGAGTACAGTTATACAAATCATTGCTGCTATCTTTGGAGTGTTCGGAAATGTTCTTGTTCTTCTGATGTATACAAAATACATAGAGGACAAAACGGGCTGCCGATACTTTATACCAATTCTCGCTGTTGTAGATCTTTTGGGATCTCTGTCAAACGTTATTGAGTTTTACTTGGATAACACTATGCGCTACATTTACCCTGGTGCATTTTTGTGTAAAACTATGCCATTTCTAATCATTTTTACCGGGGGATTCTCCGCTTTCCTGATTCTTGCAATAGCATTGCAGAGGTACTTGGTAATCTGCCGACCTTTTGGTAAACAAATGACCCCAAAAATGTGTAGAATTGCCATTTTGCTAATACTTCTAATTTGCATTGGCTACGCATCTCCAATTCTAAAATTCAAGGGAATATCGCAAAAACTTAAAACGCTTAATGTAACAGGAAATGTTTCTTTCTGTCACATCGACGACGGCACTAACAATTCCAGTGCTATAATAACATATCACGGGACTTTACTGTTTCTATCTCTAACCAACATAGTCATCACATCAATTCTGTACCTTCCTGTGATCAGAACCATTTATAAAATACTTTCCCCCACCAGACAAAAGCAACCAAATAGGGATCCAAAAGAAAACATCAATTTAGCAGTTATAACTCTTACAAAACCACAACAACAACGTGTCAATGACGATACAATATACATCCCAAGTACAGAAAGAAGCCCGGAACAAACCGCTAGAAGGAATATCAGTGTCATGTATCTTGTCATTATTGTTGTCTACGTAGTTTCGTATGTGACGTCACTAGTTACACACATCTATCAATTCGCAAAAACAGAGGAAATTAAAGGGTACTTACGAAATATTTATGTTCTCTGTTATCGTTTTAATCATTTGAATCACATTGCCAATCCATATATTTACTGGTTTTATGATATTCAATTTAGAAAGGAGCTTCGTAAGTTTTGTTGCAGCTGTATTCGCAGAAGACAATTAAACTACTAAAAGGAGCAAACCAGCGAAATTTAAACTTCATTAAATGTAAAGGAATTCCGAAATTTACAGATATATTTCAACATTTGATTCTACAAGTATCGATTATTAATATTATGTTTTTGATATTTTATGTTCATTTGAATTCATTTATGTAAATTTGTGGTTTTCGTGATGATTTGGAAAAACAGCAAAAGATTAAGCTCCTCAAAATAGTGATTTCAGAGAATTCTCAATATGTAGTATTAGGATTTCTTATTTGAAATCCATTAACATGTTTCTGACTTCTATCATTCAATTCACCGCATATCTTTTATAAACCTCATCCAAGAACGAATAAATGATAACAGATCAAAGTAACATTACACATATTGTATTACATGTGTATCAGAAGCAAAACTCTGAAATAAATGGCAAATCAACCAAATAAATTTTCTTTTTACATTTAAGATATAATTATAACATAGAAAGAGAGGGAGAGAGAGAGAGAGAGAGAACTCAACAGACTGATATATTTTTGAGGAACAGATAATTCAATGCATTAATGTGGGGCTCGTAAGAATAGACGATATATCTACTGTCGTAGAAAGGAAGTGCTTTGATAATACATTATCAACAGTAGAATACACAGAAAAAAGAATGATGCTACAAATAGAAAAAAACATATTATATTGTTACAAATTTTATTCACAAATTTTAACGATATTTTATAGATCTATGGGGGTAAGAAGAGAAGTCTTAATCTTTCAAAAGCAGAAAAAAATCTGTAATTCCTCAGGGGTGAAAATATATATGAAATATCAAGGGTGGAATTCTTCAACATCGGCCGAAGTTAAAGGTCCTAAGTTTTAAAATCTGCATCTGAAATGTCGTCTGGATCCACACTCAATCAAAAGTAACTTAATTGTCTTGTCTCTCTACTAATTTTCGGTATCTTAAAACAAGTATTTAGATGCATTTTATTTTTCTATTTTTATTTTTTCTAGTTCTATGCCACATTTTCTAGAGGGTGAAACTTTATATCATGTTAAGAAAAGATTCCCTCCCTTCCTGACAAACCAAAACTGATTGGACATTTCGTATGAAATTTACATGAAAATTTCATAGAACTTACAGAATGGGACAAAAATTCCACATGGGTGAATTTAAGGCATTTTTGAAAAGCATATGGTCAGATGAAAAAAGTTTTTTTTTCTTATGTTAAAATTTAACCAGTTATAAATCTTTAACATAGGCCATGAGTTTTGAAGGGTAAGAGCTAGGGATTTAATGCTACACATAGCTATT